GAGTGAGGCGTAATTAACACCACGCATATTAGAAAGGCAATGAAGCTGATGCGGGGTGTGGAGCACAAGCCTTATGAGGAGTGGCTGAGGGAGCTGGGCTGCTCAGTGTGCAGCAGAGGAGGCTCAGGGGAGACCTCACTGCTCCATAGATCCTCAGGGGAGGCTGTGGTGAGGTGAGGGTCACCCCTGGCTCCCACGTAACTGGTGGCAGGACGAGAGGTGATGGCCTCACATCGTGCCAGGGGAGGGGCAGGTTGGATGGTAGGAAAAACGTCTTCTCTGAAAGAGCAGTGAGGGAGTGGAATGGGCTGAGCAGGGAGTCACCAACCCTGCAAGTGTGGAAGGGAGGGGTGGATGTGGCACTGAGGGACGGGGTTCAGTGGGAAATGCTGGCGGTAGGTGAGTGGGTGGGCTGGGTAACCTTGGGGGCCTTTTCCAACCTTGGGGATTCCACGATGTAATAGGCACTCCATGACCTAAAAAGGTTTGCTCCTCATTATATTAAGCACAGAAGCTTCTCACCGAATTCTTAAAGCTGCCTCAATCTCCTCACGCTTTGGGACGGAGCACACAACAGCTTTGCCACAAACACTGCGGTGCCCCCAGGGGCCTGGGACAGACCCCAGCCCTGAGGAAAGGCTCAGGCTGCTTTGGATGCTCTGCACTGCTCCCAGCCCACTGCTCACACCCTGGTTCCTCCCACTGATTATCACAAACACCACAGGGCTGCTGAAGACATCGTAACAACCCTTATGAAAATACAGGGGGTGTGCATACAAAGCTGCTGTAAAGCTCCTGCAGTCAGACTGCCACTGCAGACCTGTATCCTGTACCCTCCTTCCCCTGTGTGATTTACAAAAGCTGTTCTGTACGTGTGCTGCTGTGCCATTTCCACACAAAATGCTATTACACCACAGCCGCCTTGCTGTTATTGCTTTGGTTCCAGTCTGCTCATTTTTTTGCTACTTACAGCAGCACTGGCCTCAAGAAAACACAGTTCTCACAAAATAAAAAAAGAGCAAAAACACCCCGAGGAGCAGCTTTATTTTTAGGTTCCCATGTATCTTAGTGGCAGTGTTATGTAAGTCACGGCCCAGCTCGCACAGCTTACCTCTGCAGTACCACTGGCAGGCAGAAGTAAGGCAATTCCTGAAGAAAACATGGCAGGAAAACACTTGACAAGCAATCAGCCATACCTTATCCTCTGCTGCTTCCAGATAACACATTCTCTACTTGAACCCTGTTATTCCTTTCTTCCAATCAGGCTGTGCTTCCTCCATCAGCACACTCTCAGCCTACTGAGTGGCACAGCACTGATGCTGCAGATGAATTCTGTAAGCTCAAACCAAACCAAATTCCCCCTAACCTGTCTTTTTGAAAGGAAGCAAAGTACTAATGCTGCTGTAACACCATCTGGCTACGTTCTCCTTTGCTACACCACATTCTGCAGAACTTGGTAGCATACAGCACTGTGCACAGCACATGGTTATTTCCAAATCCCCACCTGAGCTCCATGATCTGCATCAGAACTAATCCCACCTGAATTCCTGGCATCCTACAGTGGTCCACAGGCAGCACAACTATTCAGGTTCTCAGCTTACCCCAGCAAGTGCTGATGGAAATCAGCCGAGATCTTTTGGCTATACAGGGGTAGGGATGTTGGTTTGAGTTCTTTGTTTGGAATTGATTTTGTGCTTTTTTTTCCTTCTTTGCCATCAATTTGTCTTCACAGCTTTGGATGCCAACAGAACCCTGTGGTGGAATTATTTCCTTTAGAGGCATCTCAGCCCACCCATTACCCTCCCTAAGGGTAATGCACAGATGAATACCCCAGCAGTTAGCAGAAAGCACTGCACTGCACAGATGGGGCCTCTCCAGAATTGCTCTGGGAAGAACGACAGATACATTATTATATGTAAAATCCCTCCCTGGATTTCAGTACGAAATCTCATCTGATGACAGAGACATTTGTCATCTGGCATTCTGGTCAGTGCAGAGCCCAAAGAGCAAAATGCTCTGCAGCAACAGAGGTAAGAAAGTGAAGAAACCACCAGAAAGCAACAGCATTCCAGCACAAGCACTCGATAACAGCGTGCAGCAGAGATTTTTGGACTAGAAGGACACAGAGAAACTGGTAGAGAGTGGCTCAGCAGAATGCATGCCCCAAAGAGGCACACAGCACACGTTTTCCCAAGGATGTGATGGAGTTTGCAGGAGCACTGACCCCAACAAAGGCAGATCCCTGGCCACTCCTTCCGAGCGTTTCCTGCTCAGAGCAATCCTTCAGTGATGGGGTTTTGATTTATTCCTGCCTCTCCAGAAACTACCTCCTTGTTTTTCTGTTTGAGATGATAAATTTCTACAAAGACAACAATGGTTTGCACAAACAGGAAACAAAAGCCCAAACCAAAGTGGTTTCTTTGTCTGGTGCATAATGCCCACGGAAAGCTGTGCTTCCATCACATTTGCTCTACGTGACAGGGACAATGTCCCTCACAGAGGTTTTGCATGTGCTCCTGAAGACACACAAGTATGGCAGTGTAATGAGGAATCTGTGTTTCAGAAAGTCAGCTTGTGTCACTGGAAAGCCCTTCCATAGTCTTACAGTCAGCAAAAAAAAAAAGACCAACCAGATGATTTCTCTATGCACAACAGGCAGATGAAATAATGGCATCTCTAAGAATTAGGCTTCATGTCACAATAACAAGGCATGCCACAACTCTCTTTGGGGTTTTGCACACAGAACAACTTGCAGAGTGCTCAGGCTTCTCCATGCCTCCATGCTTCTGAATGAGTCCCGTTGGTCTCCTCTAGAAAGAGCCTCCAACCCACAACTCTGAAGACTCAGGAGAAAAAAAATATATATCATACTAAGGGAATGTTAAAAAAAATTACAGCAGATGCATAAGATTTATCTGACAGAAAGCCCAAATCTGGGCCCTACATTATTTAAGCATTTTAGTTGTACAAACCCCAGATGTCCCTGACCTTTAAACTTAGAGCAGGGTTTCCCATTGCACGTTCCATTAAATTCACCTCTATAACAGCACCTACAAACTCATCCCCTGCAAGCTACAGCCAGACCGTACCTTGGGAAACAGAAACAGGCCAGGACCATTCACTGCATTCAGATTTGGCTGAATAATGGGTTCTTACCACAGGGTCCCACTGTTGCTTACTTTATCCTCCACTTTTCCTTCCAACCCTTAACTTTTGATGTGCTTTATTCCACCACTAACATGCATGAACGTGCCAAGCCGTCAGACTTCTCTCCTGCTCCCAGGATCTTGTTCCCGAGCAGTAACATATTTTGCAGTTACCATTCTTTCATGCTCACACACATCACTTTATGTTTATCACACTGAAATTTTCCTATCACTTTACTGCCCGCTCACTGAGTCTCTTAATGCCCACATCATCCCAAGGCTGTTCCAACACGACGACGCAGAGTGGGCTTACATAAATGTAGGCTGCCTCCGGGGCGTATTTCTCACAGGACTGTACCCCAATACAGGAGCTGAAATTAATTAGTCAGAAGCCAACTGCTTATTGATTAATAACAATAAAGGAGTAAGCTGAGTGCCACTGAAAAGTGCTTTCTCTCTGACTGGTGTGCTGTTCCAGAACGTGCCACCTGTGACACCATTCCCTTGTACTGACTCTCCTGTGATGGAAGAGAGGAACAGCATTGCCCTCTTGTGTTGTGATGAAGCTAATCATCAATTCACTGCTGCTACTTGCAGTTTTTTAAGTCATGGATAAAGGTTTATACAAAGACCAATGTTACAAAAGTGCACATTATGAATAGACTCCACATTGCCTTGTAGACAGGATTACAAATTGTTGCACACACACGAGAAAGAACATTCTTAACGTGCTCATAAGAGGTGAGCCAACCAACCACGGGCTATCCATCTGAAATTACAAACTCTTCTTATTAACTTTATTCACAGTAATTAAATGCAAATATTGAACACAAGCCCCTGCTAATTCCTCTTTGATTTCTGTATCTCATCTACATCAAGTGCATCATTTTTAAAGTACCGTAACAAATTAATTTAGGATGTCCTCTACCATTTTTCAAATGCAAATTGCAATGCTGGACTTGAAGACTGAGTGCTGAGCTTAACAGAAGCTAAAACCAGATTCAGACTATGAAATAATGAAGTGAATACACCTTGCAGCAGCAAACAAAATCGAGAGCAGAGTACGTAAAACCTTGAACCCAAAGTGCTACTGAAACGTGAAGCTGAGAGGACAACATTCACAGCACACTGCAATGCCACTGCAAGAATCATATGGCAAGCTGGACTTCTTGCTTTATACTGCCATCAAACTCTACCACTACAATTCATGAAGAACATGACCACTTGCAGCTTGTCTTCCCCTCCCTGCCTCTAAATGAATTCCCTTGCTTTTACACTTAAAATTCAGTTTTTGTTTTGGAACTCAACACTCTGCATTCCCCTGCCCCCTTTAATCAGCACTCCCATAACTTCTTTGGGACTTTTCTTGAGCTTAACATCAGACTTAAATGCCTTTTCCTAACAAAGAAAGTCTCTTCTTAACACCTGGACAGAAAATAGCCCAGAAGCCAAGGCCTGGATCTGTCACAGAAGAGTTCTACACCATCCTAAACTCTTCTGTGGGTGAACAGCTAATAACACAAATCGCTTCTCCAGAATCAGAAGTTACAGCACAGAAGTTTCTTGGAGATGCACAAAAGTGAACAAAAGAGGTCTGCAACATAAGCAGAGTTTCCAAAAGGACAAACAATTACTCTGTAAAGGTCACTCCACGATGCACCAGCTGATACACATTCTAATAAATTATTATTAACAATTCTAATAAATTAATAAATTATTTAGTGCCTTTCAGACAGAAAAAAAAAAGCAATACCACCATCACAAACAAAAGAACAAACAACAAAACACCAGCAAGTAACAACAGTCCCCAAATAAACAACAGCATGAGGGTTGCAGCAAAGGAAAATAACCTACCAGTCTTGGTAAGTGGTGATTGCAATACTTGGAGGTGCCAACAAGGGCAGAGTTGTTGGCCTGCAGACGATGTCTCTGTCAGGTGTCCTCGCTTTCTCTGTTTGTCTTTGGGACAGTGGTGGTAACTGCAGGTTGCCAGAACAGCACCTTCTTCCTCTCCAGAGGTCTATGCCCAGAGCATGGCTGGAAGTACTGTAGGACTTGCTCAGCCCACACTCCAGGTAATCCAGAGCATTCTGCAAAGAGAAAAGCCACTGAAGTTCTGCAGACAACAAATGGTTTCCTCCACGAGAACAAACCACGTGCAATTGTTTTGTATTACAGGTACAGCTACTCACAAAACATAACTGGATAAAAATCCTGGCAGAGTTTGACTGCACTGCATTGCGCTGTTTTATCAAGTTGTGAATGAACTTGAAAATCCATTTGCAACATGTCCAAGCTAAATTCAGCCCAGTTCTAACCTAGCTGAATCATCCAGGTCACTTTGGTGACATGAACTTTTTCTGGTAATATTCCACTCAACATCTTTCACAAGATTCCTCTCCACAGCACAAACATTTTGGTTTGCCTCTTGTTTTTGTGACGGCTCACCAGGCAAAGGAAGGTCACAAAAACACTGAGTTTGGATACATGCCCAACCATCAGCTAACTCTGAGAGAACTTCCAGCGAGGCTACCTGGCCTAAGCCTGTTCTTTCCAAAAGAAAGTCTCTGTTCCTCTGCGAGTTTCTACTTCTTTCTATGCCCCTGTGATCAGAGAACTGGTTGTCAGCCTTTCCAAGAAGAGCACTGCAAGAAGGCTGCTTGTATTGGTCTTGTAGAGTTCAGCTAGTCCAACAGAATTGCTCAATTCCAATGAGACTATTTGTGCACTGTGCAGTGATTGAAGCTGAAGGGTGATTACAGTAGGTGCGCAGATATGTGGCAACCTCTACATTTTTACTCTTCTGCCTGCTTCTGAATTTTGATCTCTTCCCTGTTGTCCCCATTCTTCTGAGCTTCGAAAAATAAATGATTGGTGAAGTTTCCATAATGACTCCTTAGGTCCTTCAGGGCGTGCTGGTACAGATTCACAAAGTTACTAAAGCATCAAAATCATCCAGGCAGAAGTTGAAATATTTGATCTGCTGTACTTCCAAAAATAGGCCAGAGAGCTTCAGATTCAAACCCTGCTCTTAAACAGCACGAATCCAGACAAAACACTCCTAAAAACCCCAGAAAGGGGTTCTGTGGAAGGTCTCACTTCACCAGCCTTTATTAATAATTTTTTGAGACTTCAGTTGTTTTGTTATCACTTAGAACACACTGCTGCACATTTCTTAAGTTCCCATTAGATGTCAGGTGTCTGTTTTCGTTATCAGCAAAGACTGAGTGGACTGTGGCAGCCCTACCAGCAGGTGCAGGCAAACTGACTGCAAAGCAACACAACATATGCTCTAAGAATGTAAAAGAATCACTCAGCTGCTGCAGGAGTGCTGCAGGATGCTCTTAAGCTCTACTCCTCCCCTGTATTTCCACATACATTTCTGTGGTGTTCCATTTTTGGAGGGCCCCAGCTGTGACAAGCAAGGCAATTAATGTTGTAGTTATCACGCCATCATTACAAACTGATGCATTTCTCCAGAGAATGGGAACTGGCTTTTAATTAATAGAAGATCATGATGACGATTAACAAGCATAGTAATGGAATAACATGCATCATCGCATTAGATGCTCAGCAACTACCACAGCAAGAGCTGCTGAACTTGTGTGCATAGAAGCTATTAAGCATACAAGTGCAGCACATGCACAGACAGGGGACCCAGAACAGAGTTTCCTAAGACATAGGAATGTCCAGGCTCTCACCTACCATTATAACACTGAGCAAAGAAGAAACTCTTCAGAATTCACAGTGTGTTTGTTTTATTTACTGCTTAACGCATGAACTGCAAACAACTCTAAGAAAATCAACGAGTCCCTGGAGCAAAACCAGCTGATACAAAGACAAAAGAGACTTCTGACCTTACTTTCACAGAGTATTGGAAAAAGCACAACACGGTTTTGAAGAAAAGTACCTCATCTGCAGTCACTGCCATGACACTGCGGCTTTTCTTCATTATTGAGATTAAAGTGCTCCCCACTACAAGAACTTGTTCAATTCAACTTCTTCAGACGAGCAGCCTGAAAGAAAGAACAGCTGCAGCTTTAGTTTTGAATGACACCCCGTTTTGGGTAACAAAGCAGGTAGCTGGCTGCTGGTATCACAGCTGGTTTGTAACTTGCTGATCACTCCCACCTTAACACCTGGCAGCCGATGTTGGGCAAGTGTAGTTCTCTATTAGGGAACGGGCAATTTAACACCCAGTAAAATCATGTGAAACGTAATTGGTGTTCACAAGGCTCTGCAATCTAAGCAAGATTGAAACACACATAGGAATACGGGATCAAAGCTAGCAGGTTCCACTTACGAGGGATTTTCTTTAACTGAACCCTTTCCAGATACACAGAAAAAGGCTTGAGCTGGCTCTGATAGAAGCCAGACTGAAAAACTGTAATTCAGAAAAGCAATTGCATTTGTATGCGATTCTAAACTCAAATCACAGCTCATGGCCATTACTTCTTGCTACCCTGGCACACACAGCAACACAGCCACTGTTCCCACCGAGCACCCAGGTGGCAGCAGGGGACAGCAGCACAGGGAGGGAGCAAACCCAGTGCTCCCAGCCCTCTGCTCTGCTCCTGGGGTTTTACTGCTCACCAAAAGGCTGTGCTGCAAGTTGCACAGCAAGAACACTGAAGGTTTTCCTTTTCTTTCCCTGCTGTGCCACTCAGCGTGCAGACAAGGCGCTCTGTCCTGCTCCAAGGGGCTGCAGCAGGGCCCTGCTTGGGGTTTGCTGCTGAAGCCCCCACAGAAAGCTGTGCAGTGGGATATGCTATGGGGACTTGTAACACGGCATCCACTGTGACACACCGGGGAGTCTGAGCTGTGTTCAGCTCATCTGGCCGCACTGCACTGCAGGCTCAGGAGAGCAGAAGGCAGCCCAGGCCGCCTGCGGAGCAGAGCCCTCACACAATGCCAGTGCCAGAGCCATCTCACGGCAGCCCTGGCACCTGTGCTGTTTGTGTTTCCCCAGGCTCCGACATCCACGCACGCCTGCTCCCACGGCAGCCAAAGCCAGGAGCCCTGCAGCCCTGCCAGGCTCACACAGCCTGCAGCAGTGCCAGCACACAGGGCTGTGCTCCATCCCTGTGAGAGGCCCTGAGGGCCAAAAGCTGGGGCAGGCCGAGGTGCCCAGAGCTGGCTGATATTGAGCCTCAAGGAGTGAGAAGTAAAGGCTGGGCAGCCTGCTGGCTGGTCAGGAGAAACTGCACAGAAACGTCTCTAAGGCTCACAGCCTATTAGTCGCCTAGTAGTCACACTGCAAAGCAGAATAGAACTGCAGAATAAATGGAACGATTTTAATCCATCTTCAACAATGGTGAGAAGCTAAACAGCCGTGTTATAAAAAGCATCCCAAAATGACAGTGGACAGACAGCAAATGAGATGAGACACGGGTAAAGATGACAGCGACAGCGGCATGAATTCACAGACTAGGGAGATCAATTCTGGCGTGACTACTTGCTGCCAAAAATACGCATTCCTCCACAGCATACAGATAAAATTCCTGAGAAAGAATAAAAGGAGGAAGCAGCTCCTAAGCAGCAGAACGAAGCAGGGTGCAGCTTCGTACAGTGCTTCTTGGACGTGGTCTGAAGGCATGGTGGGGGTGGGCTGGGGCTGGGCTTGGGGATCTCAGATGTCTTTTCCAACCTGGATGATTCTATGATAAGTACAAGCCTGCAGGCTGAAAGATGGGTCTACTGTGCAGGCAGAAGGATGCCAACAAGGCACAGGTCTTTGGGTTGCCAAGCTAAAAGGAAGGACTGTTAACACTTGGTGGGCTACGCCATTCAGGAAGTCTAATACAACTACAAATAGCTCAGATATGAGTGGCGATAAACCAAACAGCTCACAGCATTTATACTGGTGATGAAGAATCCTTCACGTTCTGAAGGAAGACATAGGAATCACAGAGGTGGGAAAAGAGCTCTAAGATCCCCAGGTGCACCCCAACCCACTGTGCCCATGGAGCGTGCCCCTCGTGGAAGCACCAGTGAGAAACAGCACGAGACTACCTAGCTCAGCATAGCAGAGAAGTAACACAGCAGCAGGAAAAGAGAGCAAAAAAGAAATAGACCAAGGAAAACATCTTTGGGAAATAAAATCCAAGAGACATTTTGAAAGACAGTCCAAAGCTGTGTGCAACTTTACTGAACGCTGGGATCAGAACTGACACTGGGGAAATGCAGAGGGATGGACCACGTGGACAAGCAGACTGTGTGGAACCCCTTACACCACAACGTCCTTTCCTTTATAACTATTTATCCATTTGTCAGAGCAAGCTTAAGCAGAACACTGGAAATAACACGTGATTTTTTTTAAAAATAACTCTTAATGAGGACTGCATTTCTGAAAAGGCCACCAAGAAAATCCTAAAGCTTCCATTAGCCATGGCTAAAACTGCTGTTAAACTCCAAGCCATTCTTTTATTATGTGTTTCTGATATGTTGGACGAAGATCTGGGGGGTGGGAAGGAAAACAAGTAAAACAATGCAAATTCCTCACCCCACAGAGGCTACATCAGAATTCCTTTCTGCCAGGTGCATTTTCTAATTCATGCCATCTTCTGTCACAGGCAAAGGGCTTCTCTCTTCTACCCACATTACCCAAAAAGTGACGACATCCCAGTGGGCTTCGTGTGGCCAGCAGGGAACGCCTACGAGCAGCAAGGTTCTGCAGCAGGTTTTGGGTTGCAGCCTTCCAGTGCTGTGGCTGGGTCCAATCCATGTGGGCAGCATGTGTGCTAGGCAGGGTACGAGATCTCTGCTCCAACGGAGCTGACCTAGTTCTTACACCTGAGTGCTGTGCTGGCTGACCACGCTGTTTGAAAATGACAACAAATGCTCCCATGATTTCAGGGTGGTGAAGCCTTATACTGAGGGTGTGAATTAACAGCAGGGCTCAGTGCTGGCAACCGACAGCGCCGGGGATAAAACTACAGGGCTGCATGTGATAAAGTCTGCTTTTCCTACGCACTCTTAAAAATAGCTGTTCAACTCATCCAGCACAAAACCCACTATTTAAAGAAATTTCTAAAGTGCATCTCAATGCGCAAACTGTTTTGATTTGCAGTTCCAGGCACACATTTCACCGTGCCACTGCTTTCCCCCCCGTTCAGGTGACAGGCAGAGCAGCCTCTCCTCCTGGACGCACGGATGAGCAGGGCCAGGAAGATCACTTCTCTGCTGCTCACGCTGCGCTAGAGCTTTGGATCAGAGACAGGTTCTGGCAAGCAGGGCTGTTCATCCGGCTGCTTTCCTTTTTCAAGAGAGCAAGAGGCAAAGATTGAGAGACCAGAAACCAAACTGCAGGAGATGAGGGCCCCCGGTAGCCTAGGCAGTGCTGTGCCACTTCCATCCAGCTCCAGCAGTGCTTCCAAGAGCACACGTGTCACCAGCACTGCATTCGTGCCAGCAGCCCGACACTGACCCTGACAGATCCTGCAGAACCTGGAGACGGTCAGAGATAAGACCAGCAACTGGAATGCTGACTGAATAGGAAGCCTTGCAAAGGAAAGGGCTACCATGAAGGAGTTTATCTGATCGTACAGATAACTGCATCATTTGTGAGCTCAAATCACATTCAAACAACCCAATTCTCTGCAGAGATCATCCAAACTTCACAGGGCCACACAAATAGACCGGGTGACACAGACAGACAGGGCAACACGGGGTGACAGTCACCAAAGAATGCAATAATCCCACACCTGCTCCTCCCAGACGAAGCACATGGGCTTGTACTTCAGATCTGGACACAGCACAGCGTTCCTGGGAGAAAAATAAACCTTACGTGGACCTAACGTTAGGTAAAAGCAAGTTGAGATATCACTAGAAGTGACACCAGTGACAGCTTTGCCTTTTAATAAAGCAGCCCCGTGATGACCCAGGACCCACAGCAAGGCAAGGCCACAGCCTTTGTACTTTGTACTGCAATTGCAATGCAACAAAACTGCAGATTTATCAGCAACTGATAAGCATAACCAATTCTTTCACTATCAAAAGGAAACGCTGTACAGAGGATATCCCATGCAGATATTTGAGAAAGTCCTGCCAGAAAGATGATGCTGCAAGTAAAGAACCTGCAATAACTCCCTGCCCCCTTGTTACCACCGGGGAAATTATCCTTATTACCACAGCACCTTAATGTTCATTAGGAGGTCGCTTACTGCCATATCGCTGCGGTTAAGCGGATTGCAAAGACTCATCTTCTCTCTGGCAACTTAATGACTGGAGCTGAGAATAACCACGAGGGTTCATCCCAGAAACCAGAGCCCAAGCAGAGCAAAGAGCTACCAAGACTACCTATCCTATTATTTTATTTCTTTTAACCAGATTAATGACTTCAAAATTGTATTTCCCAAACCCTTTGTCTACTCTTGTGGTCAAAGTCAATTCATTTAGAAACAGCCAGGGCCGTGACAAAGGCTGCAGTTTGCTGGTGGTACCCGGAGCATCCAGGACTGCCAAGGTCGTGCTATTAAAAGACACACTGCGTACCTTCCTTGTTCCTGTGCCAATGACAAGCAGAGCCTCCCACTCCTCGGGCTGCAGCTGAGCACTCAGAGAACACAGAATGATTATTAATTATGCTTTAAAAAAAAAAAAAAAAAAGCTATGTTCATTTAAAAATACATAGAAAGAAAACCAAACCAAAAAACAGGGTGTCAGAAAAAGGAGTGTTGTTCCCTTAGCCTTGCAGACAGCCAGCAGCACAGGACATCCCTGCATCACCAGCACACAGCACCTGCCCCACGTCACTGATGTACTCCTTGCTCTCCTCAACTCCAACACCATTGCTTCAGTGACAAGAGTTTTAAAGCCCTGGGGGTGCTCCCCTCCCCCTGCAGCTCAAAAGAGCCCAGGTCAGGCAGCATGCAAGCAGGGTTGCCCTGCTGAGAGTGCTGGAGCCTGCAGAGAGCTGCACAACCGAGCCTAGAAAGAAAGAGCACCCCTACAAGGGCACATCCCTGCTACTCTTGTACTAGTGCAAAATCAGAATTGCAAAGTGTCC